CCCTTACCAAAATGCAGCACCTCACATTTAAATAAATTAAACTCCAGCTACCATTCCTCGGCCCATCGGCCCATCTGATCACTGTCCCACTGTACTCTGAGATAACCTTCTTCACTCTCCACTACACTACCACTTTTCATGTCATCTGCAAACTCACTTAGTATCCCTCTTATATTCACATCAAAATCATTTCTATAAATGACAAAAGGCAGTGGACCCAGCACCAATACGTGTGGCACACCACTGGTCACTGGCCTCCACCCTGAAAAACAACCCTCCACCACCACCCTCTGTCTCCTACTGTCAAACTCTCCCTGGATTCCATGTGATCTAACCTTGCTAACCAGTCTACCCCGTGGAACGTTGTTGAATGCCTTGCTGAAGTCCATATAGACAAAGTCCACTGCTCTGCCTTCATCAATCTTCTTTATCACTTCTTCAAAAAACTCAGTCAAGTTAGTGAGATCCGATTTCCCATGCACAAAGCCATGTTGACTATCCCTAATCAGTTCACACTTTTCCAAATACTTGCAGATCCTGTTACCCAGAATCCCTTCCAACAACTTACCCACCACTGAAGTCTGGTTCACCGATCTGTAGTTCCCTGGCTTTTCCTTATCACTTTTCTTAAATAATTGCACCACATTAGCCATTCTCCAGTCTTCCAGCACCTCACCCATGGCTATCAATGATACAAATATCTCAGCAAGGGACTCAGCAATCACCTTCTAGCTTCACACAAAGTTCTAGGATACACCTGATCAGGTCCTGGGGATTATCCAACTTTATGTGATTTAAGACATCCAGTACAACCTCTTCTATAATATGGACACTTTTCAAGCTATCACTATTTTTTATTCTATGCTGTCTAGCTTCCATGTCCTTCTCCGCAGTAAATACTGATGTGAAATATTTGTTTAGTATTTCACCCATCTCCTGCGGTTCCACACATAGACAGCCTTGTTGATCTTTAAAGGGGCCCTATTCTCTCCCCAGTTACTCTTTTGCCCTAAATGTATTTGTCGAATCTCTTTGAATTCTCTTTACTCCTGTTTGCCAAAGCTATCTCATGTCCCCTTTTTTGCCCTCCTGATTTCCCTCGAGTATAAAAACCGAAAGAACTGCAGATGCTGTAAATCAGGAACTAAAGCAGACGTTGCTGGAAAAGCTCAGCAGATCTGGCAGCATCTGTGAAGAAAAAAATCAGAGTTAACGTTTCAAGTCTGGTGACCCTTCCTCAGAATGCCGGATGTTCTGAGGAAGGGTCACTGGACCCGAAATGTTAACTCTGATTTCATCTTCACAGATGCTGCCAGACCTGCTGAGCTTTTCCAGCAACTTCTGTTTTTGTTCCCTCGTGTGTACTCTTACTGCCCTTATACTCCTCGAAGGATTCACTCAAACTCAGTTGTCCATACCCACCATATACCTCCTCGTTTTTCTTGACCAGAGCCTCAATTTCTCTAGTTATCTAGCATTCCCTACACTTACCAGACTTATCCTTCACACTCATAGGAACATACTACCTCTGGACTCCCGTTATCTCATTTTTAAAGGCCTCCCACTTTCCAACTGCCCTTTACCTGCGAATAGCCTCTTCCAATCAACTTTTGGACGTTCTTGCCTAATGTAATCAAAATTGGCCTTACTCCAATTTAAAACTTTAACTTTTAGATCAGGTCTATCCTTTTCCATAACTATTTTAATTCTAATAGAATAATGATCACTAGCTCCAAAGTACTCCTCCATTGACATCTCCATCACTAGCCCTGCCTTATTTCCCAAGAGGTCAAATTTTGCTCCTTCTCCAATAGGTTCATCTCAATACTGAATGAGAAAATATTCTTCTACACACTTAAATTTCTGAACATCTTATTCAGAATTTTACTACAATTTGTGGGATAGGCAGACATAATACACTGCCCTAAAGTTAATTAACATCCAATATTGCCAAAAACCTTTCATTTGTAATTTATTGTAAATTCAGCAATTCTTTCAGAGCAGCGCAGGCCATATAGTATAATAGCAAGCCTAAATCTCTCCCAGCAGGGAGTGCAAACTGCAAAAGAGTGAAAACCCAGAGTTGAGCTAAGTGTGGGAGTTTAGGCAAATGAGGGAGGGAAGCATTGCTGTGTCTTGTTCCGGCCATTTTTGCTTTGAGGTCAAGGTACTGCTGGTTTGATCTAAGAGTGGGTCTAAATGAATACCAGGCTTTTTGAGGAGGGCAAACAGCAACAAGGTAATGGCAAAGTGAGACCTTTTTTGTCCCTAAGTCTGCTTGTTGTTGAAGGGGCAGAAATGGCAGTCAGTAGAGTGGTATACTTCTCCAATCAGATGTGGGAGATCTAGGAGCAGTCAAATATCCCTGGCAACTTTGTCTGCAAGAAGCGTGTCTGGCTACGGGTCCTCTCAGACCACATAGATCAGTTGGAACGGCAGTTGGAAGCACTGAGGAGCATGTGATAGATAGTAGCTTCAAGGAGCTGGTCACACTGCAGGCTCAGTCAGCTTGATGGATGACTGCCAGGAGAGGTAGGGAAGTGGCTAGCTCCTCTCCAACAGTTTTACTGTTTTGGATATTGTTGGGAGTAGATAGCCTCTCAGGGAAAATAGCAGCAGCAGTCAGTCTTTGGCAGCACGACTGGCTCTGTTGTAAAGCAAGGCATGGCAAAGTCCAAGTGAGCAATTGTGATAGTGGAGTCGCTAGTCGGAAGCACAGACAGACATTTCTGTGACCATGAGCAAGACTCCAGGATGGTGTGTTGCCTCCCTTGTGCCAGGGTCAAGGATGTGTTGGAGCGGTTGCAGAAAATTCTCAGAAGGGAGCGTGAGCAGCCCTAGGTCGTTGTACACATTGGTACCAATGACATGGGTAGAAAAAGAGATAAGGTCCAGTACAATGAACATAAGGAGTTAGGCAGGAAGTTAAAAAGCAGAACCTCAAAAGGTAGTAATCTCTGGATTTGCCTGGTGTCACGTGCTAGTGAGAGTAGGCATAGAAGGATAGGGCAGATGAATGCTTGGCTAAAGGAGCAGGTGCAGGGGCAGGGATTCAGATTTTTGGATCATTGGAATCGCTTCTGGGGCACAAGTGACCTATACAAGAGGGACAGGTTGTACCTGAACTGGAGCGGGACCAATATCCTGGCGGGGAGATTTGCTAGAACTAGTCGGGAGGGTTTAAACTAATCTGGCAGGGGTATGGGACTCTAAGCAGTAGTGAGGCAAGAAAGAAGGTTGAGGCTGGTACAGAAGTTAAAGACAGCAAGTTAAATAGACAAGGCAGGCAAGAGCACATCCAGCAATGAGGGAAAACTGAAGAATTAAACTGCATTTATTTCAATGCATGAGGCCTGACATGTTGTAATACAAATGAACTCAGGGCATGGATGGGAACATGGGACTGGGATATCAGAGCTATAACAGAAACATGGCTGACGGAGGGACAGGACGGGCAACTCAATATTTCAGAGCACAGATGCTATAGGAAGGATAGAGGGGAGGCAAGAGAGGAGTGGGAGTGGCTTTTTTGATTGGGGAAAACATTCCAGCAGTACTTACAGAGGATATTCCTGAGGGATTGTCCAATGAACCAAATGGGTGGAACTGACAAATAAGAATGGGGAGATCACTTTGATGGGATGGTACTATAGATCCCCAACAATCAGCAGGAAATTGAGGAGCAAATATGTAAGGCGATTACAGATAGCTGTAAGAATAATAGGGTTGTCATGGTAGGGGATTTTAACTTTGCCAACATAGACTGGGACTGCCATAGTGTCAAGGGCTTGGGTGGGGAGGAATTTGTTAAGTGCGTTAAAGAAAACTTTCTCTATCAATATGTAGATGGTTCTACTAGAGAAGGGGCAAAAATTCATGTCCTCTTGGGAAATAAGGCAGGGCAAGTGACTAGTGGGGCAGGTGCTAGTGGGGGTGCACTTTGGGACCGGTGATCATACTTCTATTAGATTTAGAATAGTTAAGGAAAAGGATAGGCCTAATCTATAAGTTAAAGTTTTATATTGGGACATGGCCAATTTTGATGGTATTAGACAGGGATTTTCTTGTTACAACTGTAAAAGACTTTGGTAAGGCCACAGTTTGAGTACTCCTCACAATTTGGGTCACCCTGCTACAGGAAGGATATTATTAAACTGGTAAGGGTACAAAATAGATTTACAAGAATGTTACCGAGACTGGAAGGCTTATAAGGAGAGGGTGAATAGGCTGGGACATTTTTCCCTAGAGCATAGGGGGCTGAAGGTGACCTTATAAAATCACGAGTGGCATCCATAAGGTGAACAGTCAAGGTCTTTTCCTCACAGTAGGGGAGTCCAAAACCAGAGGACACAGATTTAAGGTGAGAGGGGAAAGATTTAAAAGGGACCCAAGGGGCAACCTTTTCACACAGGGTGGTGCATATATGGCATGAGCTGACAGAGGAAGTGGTACAGGCTGGTACAGTTACAACATTCAAAAAGCATCTGGATGGGTATTTGACTAGGAAGGGTTTAGACGGATTTGGGCCAAATGCTGGCAAATGAGACGAGGTCAAATTGGGATTTCTGGTCGGCGATGAGTTAGATTGAAGGGACTGTTTCTGTGCTGTATGACTCTAGATTCTAAAATAATAATACTAATAATGCGATCGGCTGACTTCACTCCAAAGAAATCCACTAGTATACATTTCTAATACCTGGTTAAGAAGTCACTAAAATTTTCAATAAATTTCACGATACATTTTTATATAAAATTCCACTCTCAATGGAACAACCATTGTAACAATTTTTAAAAGGCACACTGCCCAGCCAGTCATAATTTCCTTCCTTGCTTGCCCAATCACAAATTGGGTAATTATTTTACAATTAGAATCAATTTGGAATCTGACAATTAGAATAAAAATAAGCTTATTTTATGTTAGCGATAAAAAAAATTAGACTATTTGCATGCACATTCGAAAGTTTCATGATATTTCAAAATATTTTAATTAACATTCATACCCTTCTGCCACTGCTGCTGGTGCCTTGTCGCCTCCCAGTACATCTTGTGCTTCTTCTTCATCTGAAGAGCCAGCACTTGAAGACTCCTCATCACTATCAGCAAGACAATTGGCTTTTGGTCTACTCCTATAATCGGGAGCATTGCAGAAGAAAGAACAGCTTCAAACAATTATCCTATTCCATATTGTATTTTCATGAAAATTAAGCTCATGCAGAGGAAAGCAAAAATGATAGTATCAAATATAGGTCAGTAATGTATTTGTTTTTTGCATGCCATAGATTAAATTTCAGTTAGATCCCAAAAGCTTTTCCAAAACAGACCAACATCTATGACAGATGAAAATTTGCATTTTTCATACTATCCAATTTATCTTTTTAAAAGCAAGCAAATATGGTGCCTTGTAAGGAAATCAATACTTTCCGAAATCATAAGGAATTATTTTGAAAATATTCTACTAGGATGTGCAAGTTATTTTTCCCTTCTTATTGTTTCTGCATTGCCATCTCTTCTGAGGGTCACGATCCGCATGCAACAAGGAACTAAATCGGTACATTCCTTATCTGATTGGGTGAGTACACCACTTAGTTCTTCTCAAATAGAATGCATAAGTAAAAACAATTCCCTTAATTTCTTTCCACTGCATGGTGGATTCTCAGTGTGCAGATGTGATTGCGTCCTTCAGAATGTTCATACTTCCATGAAGTGAATAAATGAATGCAAATGGTCGATTTGGAAATATTATGACTGTAGTGTTCCAGAATCATGAAGATGCTAAATACAATATTTGGATACCTGTATTGAAGATTTGCATAGATTTGAGATAATTGATACCAGGAAGTAAAAACCATGACACCAATGAAGTGGACAGATTCAAATAGCTTCCTAAACCAATCCAATGAAATTTATTTACATTTCTATCCCAATGATATTTAGCCTTGTAATCACCTCCATGATTAAGTTATCTATTCTGTGCAATCCACAAGGAGCACTAAGTTAACAAATCCTGGATACATTTTACAATTCATATTTACCACCTGGGACTGTATTATTTGTGTGCAATAGCTGTGGTTTATCATAAAAGATTGATAACGATTTTTTAAGTTTATCAAGTATTAATCAGTTGCTGACTATTAGATATAGTCAGTGGTGAAAAACACTACATACTTTCACTGTTGATTTGATAAATTTCACAAGTACCTTTAATGGCGCTCCACCGAGAAGGGACATTTAAATGTTGCAAGAAAAATAAGACCCATTCCCATAACTGCCCACTTCCTCTACAACACATGACCTACAATTGTTAAGTACAACCTGTGGAGAAATTAGGCTACAAACCTCATTCAAGACTGGGCTATGATGCTCTAATTGAAAGTCCAAATCTCTTACCATTGTAGTTAAGGTGTTTTGACATTTTTAAATACATAGCTCCAATATATCTCAAGCCATTTTGTGCTCAGTAGTGTTTCATTTCTTATTTCAATGAAGATTCATTGCAACAAAGCTGCAACAAAATGAATCTGATCAATATCTGATCAAGGGAAGGCAATGGCCTAGTGGTATTATCACTGGACTGTTAATCCAGTGACCCAGATAATGTCTTGGCGACCCAGGTTCGAATCCCGCCATGGCAGGTGGTGGAATGTGAATTCAAAAATATCTGGAATTAAGAATCTAAATGATGACCGTGAATCCATTGCCGATTGTTGGGGAAAAACCCACCTGGTTCACTAACGTCCTTTAGGGAAGGAAACCGCCATCCTTACCTGGTCTGACCCACATGTGACTCCAGACCTACAGCAATGTGGTTGACTCTTAAGTGCCCTCTGGGCAATTAGGGATGGGCAATAAATGCAGCCTCGCTAGCAACGCCCTCATCCTGTGAATGATTAAGAATATCAGCCTACTGCTTAGCCGGTGCAAGTTGTGAAGGACAGTGCAATCAGTTCAGACAAGTCACTGGGGAAAAAAAAAAGTCTGAGGCCAACCTTGGAAGTATGCATGTCAGCAGGTAGCAAATCAGCAGATATGGACGTAAAAATGTGTAAAATATATGGCTGCAATTTTGGACGATTGGAATTTCTGCAAGATGCATAAACAATGAAACTTGTTTTCCAAAATTTGTATTTTTTTAAAATTGAAAGTAGCATAAATATTTTTAAATATAAACCAAATGTTAATTGCAGCTTCAGTGGGTAGAGAAAAGGAAAAGAGGAAAAGGTAATGCCAGAAAGCATACGCTATTACTTATCCAACTTTTGCAAATATGCATAAGTTCATTTCTCTAATTTCTTAATTTTTCTATCAGCAATCTTTAGGAACGCTATAGCCACGAGACAGTAATTGCAGCTGATGGCAATTAGGGTAATGAATTTTCATAAAAAAGTACAAAAAATGAATTAAACATTTAATAAGTAGCCAAATTAACATGTTTAAATCAGCAGTTGACTACATTGTTGCTAACGGCTGCCTTTATTACTGATTGTAAAACATTTTATATTTATGCTTTCCTAAATTAATTTGAATATCAGTTATATCTACAGTGCTGGACTTTCAACTAGTCTGTATTCCTTTTGAGTTCTTAGCATTACACAGTATTTAAGGTTCTCCTCCAAAAGGCAGTGATGGTATAAATACCAAGAAAAACTCCACTGTTCATAAATAGAATAATTCCCTTCACACCAACAAATGTTTTGTAGCCATCTTCCATTATAAGATGATTCTTTAATAATTAGGTACAAGCCTAACGTTTCAGTATTGTAATTGGTTACTGTATTGTCATTGCCACTTTCCAAATTATATTACAAGAAAGTTGATGTATAATATAATTCATATTTTGTAGGTTTAATTCAAACAATGTGAACCTGGGTCACTGATACACTAATCAAGTCCAGGTCAAAAAGATAACACCCCAAGAACTATTCATTCCAGGAGGCTGTATTGCTTAGCCAATAATCCGGATAATAGCTTAACTGCAACTCATTTATAATACTAAAATCACTATAATCCCTTAAGAAATGGTGTTAGTATACATGCTAAGAAGGAAAACTGCATGCTCACCAAAATGCAAGAAGACAAAGGGGAATGGTCGTGATGGATAGAAAAACTGGGAGAACAATGTCTCAAATATCAATCAAGTCACATGCAATCAACATATCTCAATACAAGTTGCATAAATACATATTTCAGAATGGAGACTGCCACGATAAATACATTGCTATGACAATTCCCTTTTAATAACACACCACATTCTGGACAAATAATCTCATGTACAAGCAGAATCAAGTAATAATGGTCTTTCTGTTTAACAGAAACAATACAATGTTTACTTTCTGAATGGAATAATGACAGAACTACATTCCCACAGCTTACAAATGTTTATGGATTATATATTACAATTACCACTCACCAGAATCACACAAATCCACAGATGATTCCGAGCAACACATTATAAATGGAGAAATGAAGGAAAAATGTATAAACAGAAGTTAGTGCAAACAAATCTTCTTTCAACTGAGAAATGCACACAACTGTGCAAAGGGTTGCTTTTTTGCAGAAGTTTTAAATAAGTTTATCTTGTCTCATATATATACATTGCTACAATGACTGTATTTAAACTGAATGATTTCAAATAGAAATGATCCCAATGTACAAACAAGGGCACAGGGGGTATGTGTATAAATCTATTGTGTGTTAATAAATACATTAGAAATAAACAAACTTTGGTAGATATTTCCAGCTGACTAACTAAAACAAACTAGACAGAGTGGAATATTGTAAAAATTATGAGAAAAAAATTTAATTTGAATCTCTTCTATGCAATCCATCATGGGTACATTTTTACTGTCCATGTCTAAGAACAGGGACTTGTATTATTTGCGTGCAATAGACGTGGTCTATCATTAAAGAGTGATATGATTTCTAAGTTTGTAGTATTAAACAGCTGCTGACTGCCAGACCTTTTCCATAAATTTCTGTTTTTGTTTGCTGGCAATTAGATATAGTCAGAGGTGAAACATATTACATACTTTCACTGTTGATCTGAAAAAATTCACACACAGTAAATTAATGTTAATTAGTTAACATTTCACACAAAGGTGAAGCAAATTTTAGGATATGAGCTGGGAGAGAAATTGGTGTGTCAGGTTAATGAAATGTTCCTCACAATGCAGTGACAAAATAAAAGTCATCTTTTGCTTCTTGGCTGTGAAGGTGCTGTCTAAAATGATTCAGACAGTAGTAGGTACTGCCAACCCTCTCCACCTGATTGAATTTAAAGGGAGAGCAAGTTCACTCATTTCCATCGAAAAAAGGAGCAGCTATCGCTACCTGCATGGGTGCTAATTATGCCTAGCTTTTTATGGGATGCGAAAACCAAAACTTGTTCCAGAACTAGTTGAGGTTTCCTTCCTCTCTGCTTTTCTTGATACATTTATGATTGTATTGGTGCAGTTTCTTGTTGTCCCGAATTGGAAAATTACATTAACTTTGCTTCCATTTCACTCTTGTCTCATCATTACATGGTCCATTTTGGACTCTTCCCATTCCTTTCTCAATTTCTGGACTTCCACTATCAATAAATATTTATTATAAGCCTAATGACGCCCACAGTTACTTGGACTACACTTTCTCAAACCCTGCTCCTTTCAAGAACTCTGATGAAGCAACTCCCCCAACTCAAGCACTTCCAATAGGTCTTCCTTTATAAACTCACCATGATTGATATGGCCCAATGAATCTATACCTTTATTTGCTCTTGTACTCTCATACCTTCTCAAACCTCACAGCCATGATCAGGTTTTCCTTACATGAAGGGACAATTCAGTGATTTCTGGAAACCCGAAATTAACACAAATTTATAGGAGTAGGGATAATTATGTTGAGGTTGTACAAGACGTTGGTGAGGCCTCTTCTGGAGTACTGTGTCCAGTTTTGGTCACCCTGTGAAAGGAAGAATATTATCAAGCTGGACGGTATTCAGAAGAGATTTACCAGGATGTTGCCAGGAATGGAGAGTTTGAGTTATAAGGAGAAGCTGGATAGGCTGGGACTTCTTCACTGGAGCGTATGAGGTCGAAGGTTATATGAACATTGTAAAGGTTTCTAAGATCATGAGAGGTATAGATAAGGTGAATGACAGGTATCTTTTCCCTAAGGTGGAGGGATTTGCCCTACCTCCTACTCCCTTTTGTCTACATTTATGGAACTTTGAATATTGAGTTCCCAGTCTTGGTCATCATGTAACAAATTTCCATAACAGCTATCAAGCTATTTATTTCATTTATGTTATTGTTATTATTTTTATTTTATTATTTCATTTACTTCACACTCTCGCTGTGGAGGCGGCACGGTGGTTCAGTGGTTAGCCTCACAGCGCTAGGGACCCGGGTTCGAATCCAGCCTCGGGCGACTGTCTGTGCGGAGTTTGCACATTCTCCCCGTGTCTGCTGGGTTTCCTCCGGATGCTCTGGTTTCCTCCCACAGTCCAAAGATGTGCAGGCCAGGTGGATTGGCCATGCTAAAATTGCCCGTAGTGTTCAGGGGTGTGTGGGTTATAGGGGGATAGGTCTGGGTGGGATGCTCCAAGGGTCGGTGTGGACTTGTTGGGCCAAAGGGCCTGTTTCCACACTGTAGGGATTCTATGATTTATTTCTACTGGTGTCATCAGCCTATCTATGTTGTTACAAAATGCTGCGTGTAATCAGATAAAGAACCTTCAGCTTTGACATTTTATCATTATTACTTATTCTGGTTCTAATTTCTGCTATACTCTATGTATATTTTAACCCCTTTCTGTCACACTTTGATTATTGCTCACCCTCTTCACTAGCCAGAATCTGTGTTTCCTCAGTTCTTTTGGATTTTTTAAAAACTTCCCTTCAACTGAACCTGTCCCATAATTAGTTTAAAGCCCCATCTACAACTGCAGTTACATGATTCGCTAGAACACTGGTCATCATTCAAATGAACTCCCATATCAGTACACTGGCTCACTCTTTCCCCAAGTGCCAGTGTCCCCATGAATTGGAAACCACTTCTCCCACACCAATCTTGGCACCATGATTTACCCCTCTAATCTTAATTACCCCATGCTAATTTGCATGTGATTCAGGTAATAATCAGAAGATTCAGATTGTTGGTTCTGCTTTTTAATTTAATCCAAGCTTCAGCACAACCTCTTTCTTAATCCTACGTCATTGATATCCAAGTAGACCATGACAACAGGAGCCTTCTGCTCCTACTCCAAACTCCAAACCACAAAAGACATCCTAAACCTTGGCAACAGGTAGGTAACAAAATCTCCAGGACTCTGTCTTTGTTGCAGAGAAGAGAACCTATTCCACTAACAATGCTATCCCTTATCATTACTATATTTTTCTTTTCTCCCGTCAAAAGGGGAACTGACAAGAGGTAAAAACATACTTGACCTCATCCTCACCAATCTGCCTGTGGCAGATGCATCTAAAATGATAGTATTGGTAGGAGTGAATGCTGCACAGTTCTTGTGGAGATGAAGTCCTGTCTTTACACTGAGGATACCCTCTGTCATTCTTTGTGGCACTACCAATGTGCTAAATGGGGTAGATTTCAAGCATATCTAGAAACTCAAGACTTGACATCTATGAGGCGCTCTGAGTCTTTAGTAGCTGAATTGCATTCACCTAAAAATCTGCATATCCTGGCCTGACATAACCTCATTCTACCAATACCATCAAGCCAGGGGATTAACCTGATTTAATGAAGAATGCAGAAGGACAAGTTCGGAACTGCACCAGGCATATCTATAAATGAGGTGTTAACCTGTGAAGCACAAAAGAGAATAACTTGCATGCCAAACAGCATAATCAGAAACTGACAGAGCTAAGCAATCCCACAACCAACGAATTAGCTCTAACCTCTGGAGTCTTGCCATTTCCAGTCATGAATGGTGGTAGACAATTAAACAACTCACTGGAGAAGGTGGTTCGACAAAAATCCCAATTCTCAACGATTAAGGAGCCCAGCACATCAGTGCAGGGATGTTGAATGGATGAACGATCCCAGCCTCCTCTGGAGATCTCCAGCATCACTGAACTCAGTGTTCAGCCAATTCAATTCATTCCACATGACATCAAGAAACAGATGGTGCACTAGACTGCAAAAACTTTTGGTTCTGATGATATTCTGGAAACATTGCTGAAGACCTGTCTGTAGCCAAGTTATTCCAGCAAAACGATAAACTGTTACCTACCCAGGTGTGTGGAAAATTGCCCAGTTTTACACGATGCACAAAAAGAAAGACAAATCCAACCTAGTCAATTACCATCCCAATCAACTCTCGATCATTGTAAAGTGACAGAAGGGATCATCAATACTGCTTTAAGCAGCCCTTGTTTAGCAAAAACCTAGCAGGTGGGAAAATTTGAGGTTATGCACATAAGCAAGAATAGAGAAGCTGAATATTATTTATATAGAGAAAGACTGTGGAAAGCCACCGAACAGAGACATTTTGGAGTGCACATCCATGAATAACAAAAATCTAGCATCCAAGTTCAGTGGGTAATAGGGAAAATAAATGGAATGTTCACTTTTGTTTCAAAGGAAATGGAGTATAAAAGTAGGGAGTTTTGCTAAAAATATGCAAGGCATAGCTGGAATACTGTGAACAGTTTTAGGCCCCTTATCTTAAGAAAGATACACTGGCACTGGAGGCAGTCCACAGCAGGTTCACTAGGCTGATACTAAGGATGGAGAGAAGTCTAATGAGGAGAGTACTTTTTAAATTGTTCACTCAAGGAGCATGGGCTTTGCTGGCTAGGCCAGCATTTATTGCTCACCCCTAGTTTCCCTTGAGAAGTCGGTGGTGACCTGCCTTCTTGAACCGCTGCAGTCCATGTGCTATAGGTAGACCCACTATGTCATTAGGGAGGGAGTTCCATCATTTTGATCCAGCAACACTGAAAGAACATTGAAATATTTCCAAATCAAGACGGTGAGTGGCTTGGTGGGGAATTTGCAGGTGGTGGCGTTCCCATGTCTGGGCTGATCTTTTCATTCCAGGTGGAAGATGCACTTCAGAAATTCACCAAAGACCCTTAGATGGCATCTTCCAAACCCACAACTACTTCCAGCTTCTATATGAACACTACAAACATGCCTACAACAAACGAAGTATAGTGGCTTAAGGAGGCAGCTCACCATCATCTTCTCAAGATGATTAGGGACATGCAATAAATCTGGGCCAGCCAGCAAAGACCACATCCCCTAAATGCATTTTAAAAAATTGTGTGCCTATATGTGTGTGCATTTATGCATGTAACATGCATACATGCCTGTGTATATAGTGTATACATATAATATTTCACGTCAGAAAGTATGGAAAATCATGGAATACAAGGAAACCGTCAAGGCACAGAATTAGATAATTTTAACCCAGCACAACTGGAGGGAACAGGACAGAATTAGATTGGCCACTGTTTAATACTCTAATCAATTTTTTTTTGTTCCATTGACTTCAATAGAATATCATCTTTGGCAGACCTTCAACTTGCAGCCAATCTGCTGCAAGGCTGTAGCTGAAATTGCCTATAGGCTCGTTTTTGTTCTCGCCATCTGGGCAGAATGTAGGGGAGAAAACCAAACAGGGAGAATCACCACTAACACAGCTCACCTCATTTTGCTTTTACTACTATAATCAAGTAGGGTCCAAAACATACATGCAATCCTTGCTGTCTGATTAGTCTTTCTGTGTTCTGCCCAAGTGATATTTAGTGTCCTTACAGTAAAGGCAACACCACAAATAAGCATCATTTGAACAGAAACTGAATTAGTAGTTGAAAAAGATTATAGAAGAATGGCAGGAATACAAACAAATAAGAAGAGAGTAGATAGCTCTGGGTTTAAGAGCTCAGGGTTCCATAGACAAGACGAACAAAACAGGTGTAATTCTATATATTACATTGCATAAAAAGTATATTATGGTCCTCCAAATACAATTTCACAACTTCATTAACACATTATGCATTCCAGGCCAAATATTAAAAAAGCACCGGTATAACTTAAGACACAGGCCATAAGCTAGGATGTGAGCTTAAATTTGCAGTTCAGCGAGAGGGGGAAATATTATTTCAAACTCCTTTTTAGCAAATGGACAAATTCACCAGTTACCCAAGCAGGTCCTTCCATCAGAAGTGGAGAAAGATTCTTGCATGATGTAGCACATGTAATGTGCATTGAAGCCTGTTCAGAAGCAGACAGTGTAAAAAGATGCATTGTATGATGTTGCCAGTTGCACAGCGCCCTTCAGTATATGATAACGAAAAGCAATTCTATTCACCTTTAAGACTGCACAGAATATAGTATCTTTGTCAAATATGCATGACAATCCTTTTCCATTCTATTGTTACTTTGACGTGCAATACAAAAAATTGCTTTACATTGTATCTGGTTACTAATGGACCCTTTCCTTCTAGTTTGGTTCCAGAAAATCAAATTTTAGTTTAAAGATCTTACCCTTCCTTGCCAACATCGCCAACTTTGTATCCTTCCCCCAGTGGCTCCTTGCCCAGTTTGGTTAGGTTCATTTTAGTTTCCAAAGTCATCAGAAAAGATCCATTGTAAGAAATCTCCAAATCAATCCACAGTCCTGTAGGAAATAAACTTTCTTGCTGATTAACTGTCCTGAGAATTGCAGACCTAAAATGGTAGCCAAGTCCTTTCTTTCAGCAACCTATGACACATTTTCAACATGTAAATTATCTAGATAGGATCTAGTGAATTAAGTCCATGAGTTATATGCATATACAACATGATGAATAATCCACATCATTTTTTCAGTGAACCTTGTCTTTAGAGTTGAGGAATGTATAAACAAGAACTGCATTAGAATCCAAGATTGCGACAAGAATGGCAACAGGAATATTTCACTTGTTTTAGTTATGTTAAAATGAAGTCAATTATATGGCACCAATTAAAATTTACAGTTCCACAAACTATTCTTGGTCAATTGTCAAGAAAAAAAATACATTTCAGTTTCATGCTACTTTTACAGCTCAATATCCATCTTGCGAAATGGTGCACTGGGCATCAGAACCAATTCATTTGCAGAAAACAATAATTTCACTGGCTTTCACAGTTCCGCAAACATCTTGAGAAGATTAGATTATAGAATTGAGACTAACATTTTGCATTTAAAGCAGATTCACTTGATCTAGAAAAAGTTTCAAGGTTGTTTGTGAAAGATAACTAAAAAAACACCAAATATCATGAAGTAAGAGAAGCCTGGTCGAAAAGATGGTTTTAAGAGAGCTAAGGCAGGAAAGACAATAGGTTTTGCAAAAAGACTTTGAGAAATTGGAACAATAATCTCTGTGGGCAGAATCCTCCCACTAGTCTCACTAGAAAAGGTGATATACGAGCCAAGTTTTTTTTTTACACAGAGGAAGGTGGGTGCCTGGAACTCGCTGCTGGGGAAGTAGTGGAAGCAGATACAATAGTGACTTTTAAAGGGTGTCTTGACAAATACATGAATAGAATGGAAATAGAGGGATAGAGTAGGGGGTTTTAGTTGTGACTGACAGTATGTCGGTGCAGTCTTGGAAGGCCGAAGGGCCTGTCCTGTGCTGTAATTTTTTGTTCTAGTCACTTCTCATTCTTCTAAACACCATTAACTGCAGGCCCAAGCTATTAATTTCTCCTCATGAGATAATCGCTCTATACCCAGAGTCACCAACCTGATCTTCTAAAAGGAGCACAAAATTCAGTTAGAAAGTTAAAGGGTGCAATGGGATAGGTGGTTACAACTTGAAGAGGAGCAGAACATGGGTATCCATAAAAGGGTGGCATTGGAATAAACAGAATCTAAAAGTGAGAAAAGCTTGAATAACTGTTTAATCAGAAGGTCTAAGATAATTGGAAACAGGCAATATTGTGCAGGTTAAAATAAAATGTCAAAATTGCTACTCCTACCGTCCCCACATTCTACCGAATGAGAATTGTCTAATTATCTGTACTAAGTGCATACTGAATAAAGCAGAATTGAGATCAATACAAATAGGTGGCAAATGAAGACAAGCTATGTTCATGTACAAGGTTCAGTGGAGTATTGAACTTTCATCATGTGCCATAAGACCATAAGATTAGGAGAAGTACGCCACTCAGCCCATCAAGCCTGCTCCATCATTCAGCGTAATCATAGCAGATCTGGAAACATCAACTTCCCTTGGCTGCCATATCCCTATAATCCTCAATTTCCTTACTGATTAGAAATCTGCCTATCTTCGCCTTGAATATACTCAATAACCCATACTCTCTATGGTAAAACAGTCCACAGATTGATTTAGATCGCCTCAAAGAAGAAATCTCTCTTCATTTCTGTCCTAAGTGAGCAACATAATCTGAGATGGTGCCCTCTGTTTCCAGACCTCCCCACAAGTGAAAACAACCTTTCCACATCTATGCTGTCAACCCTCCTAAGAATCTTAGGCATTTCAATAAAGTCACTTCTCATTCTTTTAAACACCATTGTGTTCAGGCCCAAACGATTAATCTCTCATCATAAGACAGTCCCCCTATACCCATGGTCACCCGAGTGAACCTTCTTGGAATCGCCTCCAATGACAGCATGTATTTCCTCAGGAGAAGGGTCCAAAATTGTTCACAGTATTCCAGGTATGATCTAATTTTTTTTACTCTATTCCCTTCAAAAGAAAGACCAATGTTCCATTTCTCTGTTCTCCTGAACGTGGGTGATCGTTTTTTTGTGATTTATGCATGAGCATCCCAATCTCTGTGGTGCAACTTTCTGTCATCTTTCTCCATTTAAGTAATATTCAGCTCTTCTATTCTTCCTGCATAAGTGCATAACACCTCATTTCCCCCATTGTATTCCATCTGCCAAGTATTTGCAAAATAAGCTCTGCTCACAGCACTTTTAATGATAATGATACTTTATGTCACTTCTCAGAAAGCTACCCTATCTATCAGTTGAGCAGTCTATCTTTTTCCAAGGGCTTTTTCAATCATTGATGGTCTATGATTGTAGCTCAATTTTTATCTGTTCCAAGTCACTATTTTGTATTTCTATCTTCAATTTTCCATTCAAATGGCAATTCCTTACCTGATCCGGAAGTGATCCTTTTCCTTTCTTTTGGTTCTTTGCAAACACTGTTTCATCACCTTTTAACATCTCACCCTGTCAGTACGTCCCCAAACCATCATTTTCTCAATGATACACCATTCTTCTTATTCTGTCCTCATCAATGTCTCAAGAGTTTCTTTCTCAATCTACTTGAATTCCTTCATGCACCTCCTAAACCATTTCTCAAAGTTCTAAGTTCTCAAAAAAGCCTAACTTCATCACTTCTCAGCATGTGTTCGAGTACCCAGTTCCATATCAAACTTTTCACTGATCTTTTCTTTAGCTCTATTCACATTGTCCAGTCATTATCCACTTACTTCACTAAATGCAATGCTTCCTATTGTAATCCTAGCTCTCAACTCCTTAGTATACCTGGCACATTCAGTCATATCTCTGAAATTAAATTGTGAGTAGTATGGAGCACAAAATACCCCTCTCCTCTTGGAAATAAATTTTGACTGTGCCTCATTCTTTTGATGAAGAACTAGTGTGTTGGTGGGAATGTGGTGGAGTGAACATTCATTAAAGTCCATAATCCACTATGTGATGCAACCAAATGATGCAACATTGCTTTGTACCATTATTTTGTTCTAAGCTTGTTACATTAACAAGAAAACCAAAACACAAATAAAAGACAGAAGAACTCGTTTCTGATGGTAAAGCAGATCATAAGGTGTTAGAAATACTTTGATTACCATTAATCACACATTTCTGGACCAACATAAATGCAATATTTCAGTGCAAATTCCAATGCAAAATATCTGACATTAAAGAATATTGAAGAAGCTCAAGATGAATTTTAATTGTGCTTACCTTGATGATTAACTGAAGGCTTTGAAGCTTGACATATTTTCGGCATAGCAGCTCCCATATCAAGTTCTGTCAATGTCAGTTCATTCATAAAGTAAGGTAGCTGAAATGGTATACAATAAACATGTAACGTAGTTATAACATTTTAAAATGGTGACAACTTTTATATTGTTGGGATCACGTCTAAATTTGTCGACCAAGTGAATAACAGGAAAATATTGAAATATTTGAACACTTTCTAGATTAACTAGAACTTTAAGCAAAAATTTTGGTCAACAGTGTAATGTGGCTGTGACATACCTACTAATTACAGAAATTTAAATGACTTTGGAAAAAGAGCCAAATAAACCTTTGGGGGAGATAACAAACAGAGTTTATATTTAAATACTGGAAAAACCTGGCTCTGAAAGAGACTATGGAGTCCTGCGCCGACAGATGCCTAACAACCTTTTCAGATCTTGATTTTGTTTCACTTTTTTGAAACAGAGGGAAAAAAAACCTCTAAAATTGGCATTAAAATCTGCAAGTCTCCCTCTCACCCCTTATTGGTTAAATCTGTTGGGAACCTGATAAAGTTTTCACATCTCAGTATTTTGACTATCCTGTAAGCCCCAAGAATGACTTCCAAAGACTTGGAACTAGTTAGCATTCCATCTGAACTGAAGCTCATTTGGAAGACCTTCAGTCAGTCTACATCTGTCAGCAAGTCTTTTTTTGTTGACAAAATTGAATAAGAGTTCATCAAACTTGATATTTTGTTTTTCAGAATACTCGCCAAAAAGAGTGTTCTCCTTTTGCAACTATCATCTCTGCAGAGTTTTGTCATGCTTTTTGTTATGAGTGTATTTATATTAGGATTCAAAGGGAATTTGGTTCTAATTCCAGATTATACTTTAGGTGCACAGATTAGCTCAGAGATTATATATCAAAGAAAGTAATAATGCCTCTTTATCTGAATGTGCGCAGCTTTTGTAACGAGACAGATAAGTTGTGGGCTGTAACAAGATTGATGAATCATCAGCACAAATAGAAATTAATGAGTATGACTTGATAGCTATCACAGAGATGTGGTTACAGGGTGGCCAACGCTGGAAACTCAATATTCAAGGATATTCAATATTTCAGAAGAATAGATACAAAGGTAAAGAAGGTGGGTCACTTTGTTAATAAAGGAAGGCATCTATATTGTGGCGAGTAGTGATATTGGATCACGACGTGGAATTAGTTTGGTTGAAAATGAAGAATGGCAAGGGAAAGAAATCACAGTTGGAGTCGTCTAAAGGTTCCAAGGAGTTGCCTCACTGTAGGACAACGAATAAAGCAGCAAATGATGGAGATGTATAAAAAGGGTCCTTCAAATTATCGAGGGTGATTTTAAGTTGTGTATTGACTGGATAAATTAAATGGGCAAGGGGAATAGGGAAGACAAACTTCTAAAGTGCATCAGGGATTGTTTCTCAGAGCAGTATGTTACAGAACCTATTGAATAATTAGAGAATAGTCTATGTTACATCCAGTAATGTGTAATGAGGTAGGATTAATAAGACATCTCACAGTTAGGGATATTAGGGATTAGTATTCACAACAAGAATCTACTAATGACCATCAAACCATTGTTGATTGTTGGAAAAACTCATCTGATTCACTGATGTATTCAGGGGTGGAAATCTACCATTTTCACCTAGTCTAGCCTTTACATGACTCCAGACCGACAGCAATGTGGTTGCCTCTCACCTGCCCTTTGAAATGGCTCAACAAGCCACTCAGTTATCTCAATCGCCATGAAGTCTAAACAAACAAAAGAATTTGGACCGTCAACCTGGCATCAACCTAGGCACCAGAAACAACAATGGCAAAAAAAACCCTGCCAACATTGCCAAGTTCTCTTTAGTAACACCTGGAGACTAGTGTCAAAATTGGGACACCTATCTTACATGCTGGTCAAATAACAGCCTGACATTGTCTATAAGGTATAGAAGCTGCTGTGCTTCCACAGAATCCCTACAGTGTGGAAACAGGTCATTCAGCCCAATGAGTCCACACTGACCCTTCCACCCAGACCCATTCCCCTACCCTATCCCAGTAACCCTGCAATTCCTATGACTAATGCACCTAAACTACACATCCCTGAACACTATGGGTAATTTAGCACGGCCAATCCTTTGGACTGGGAGGAAACCAGAGCACCCAGCAGAAACCCACACAGACACAAGTAGGATGTGCAAACTCCACACAGACAGTCACCCAAGGGTGGAATCGAACCTGGATCCCTGGCACTGAGGCACAGCGGTGCTAACCAGTGAGCCACTGTGCCACCTAAGGTGGCACCAGAAAGTCATAGTCACGGAATCATACGTGAGTCAATGTCCCAGACACCATTCCTGGATATGTCCTGGGAGATAGCAAGAACTGCAGATGCTGGAGTCAGAGTCAATACAGTGTGAAGCTGGAGGAACACAGGAGGTCAGGCAGCATCAGAGGAACAGGAAGTCGATGTTTCAGGTCAGGACCCTTCATCAGGATGTGTCCAGAAAGGTCGACTTTCCTGCTCCTCTGATGCTGCCTGACCTCTGTGTTCCTCCAGCTCCACACTGTATTGACTGGATATGTCCTGTCTGATTGGCAGGCCAGGCCCAGCAGAGGTAGTGCTACAGTGGTATACAGTCAGGAGTGGGTTGCACTGGGAGTCCTCAACATTGACACTGGACCCAATGAAGTCTCATGGCATTAGGTTAAACATGGGCGAGGAAACATCCTGCAACATACTGTCCTCCCTCGGCTAATGAGCCAGTATTCCTCTGTGGTAAGCAATGCTTGGAAGAAGCATGGAGGGTGGCAAAAGTGCAAAATGTACACTAGGTGAGGGATTTCAATGTCTACCACCAAGAGTGGTCAGCAGCAGCACAACTGATAAGCTGGTCAGATCCTAAAGGACATAATTGCTTGACTGGGTCTGTGGTCAGAGGTGAGGGAACCAACAAGAGGAAAAGGTACTTGACCTCATCCTCATCAATCTGCCAGCTGTAGGCGCATCTGTCCATGACAGTATCAAAGTGACCACCGCACAGTCCCACCTTCACACTGAGAATAACCTCCATTGTGTTGTGTGGCACTATCCCTGTGCTAAATGGGACAGATTTTGAACAGACCTAACAACTCAAGACTGGGTATCCATGAAGCGCTATAGACAATCAGCAGGAGAATTGTACTCCAGCACAATCTGTAAAATCGGGGCCTGGCATATCCCCCACTCAACCGTTTACATCAAGCCAAGGGAGCAACCCTGATTCAATGGAGAGTGCAGGTGCAGCACTAGCCATTTCTAAAAATTAGGTGTGAATCTGGTGAAGCTACAAAACAGGGCTACTTGCAAGCCAAACTGCATAAACAGCAAGTGGTAGACAGAGTTAAGCCATGCCACAGTTAACGGATCAAATCTAAGCTCTGTAGTCCGGCCACACCTGGTCGTGAATGCTGGTGAATAATTAAACAACTCACTGAATAAGGAGGCAGCACAAATATATCCCCATCCTCAATAAATGGGACAGCAGATCACATCAGTGTAAAAGACAGCCAGCATTGCCATGTGGATGATCCATCTCGGCCTCCTCCAGTGGTCCCCAACATTACAGATGCCAGTGTTCAGCCAATTCAATTTACTCCATGTGAAACCAAGAAACAATTAGAGGCACTGGATACTAAAGAGGCATGGGCCCTGACAACCTTCCAGCAATAGTGCTGAAGATTTGTGCTCCAGAACACGCTGCTCCTCCAGCCAAGCTGTTCCATGCACAGCTAGAATACTGGCATTGACCCAACTATGTAGAAAATTGCCCAGGTATGTCCTGTACACAAAATGCAGCAGAAATCCAACCTGGCCAATGACCTCCCCACCATTCAACTCTCAATCATCAGTAAAGTGACAGCAGATGTCATTGACAGAGACATCCAGTTTGGGGGCTGCAAGAGCCACTCAGCTCCTGATCTCACTACAGGCTTAATTCAAACATGGACAAAAGAGCTGAATTCCAGAGGTAAGGTGAGAGTGATGGACCTTGACATCAAGGCCACAACTGACCAAGTGTAGCATCAAGGAGCCCCAGCAAAATTGGAATCAATGCAGATTAGGAGCAAACTCTCTGCTGGTTGGAGTCATACCTGGCACAGAGGAAGGTGGTTGTTGCTGTTGGGAGGCAGTCAACTCAGCTCTAGGAATTCTTCAGCGCAGTATCCTTGGCCCAAACATCTTCAGCTGCTTCAATGACCTTCTCTCCATTCTAACATCGGAAGTGGGGATGTTCGCCAATAACGTTCAGCGCCATTCATGGCTCCTCAGATACCGAAACAGTCAGTGTTCAAATGCAGCAAGACCTGGATAATATCCAGGCTTAGGTTGACAAGTGACATTCATGGCACACAAATCCCAGGCAATGACCATCTCCAACAAGAGACAATTTAACGATTGCCCCTTGACAATGTTTATGTTTAGTCACAGTTTTCAAATGGAGCGTGCTGCCATATTTTCCCTTCATCTCAAAAAGATTTGGGATGTCATGTTCAGGTTGTACAGGACTTTGGTGAGGCCTCTTCCATAGTACTGTGTGAAGTTCTGGTCATCCTGCTATAGGTAGGATATTACTAAATTGGAGAGGGTTCAGAAAAGATTTACCAGGATATTGACGGGAATGGAAGGTCTGAGTTACAAAAAGAGGCCAAATAGGCTGGGACTTTTTTTTTTTCACGGAAGCACAGGAGGTTGAGGAGTAACTGAGCCAGCGCATTTGATTGCAGATGTTTCATCACTCTCCCAGGTAACATCATCAGTGTGCCTCCGGTGAAGCATTGGCGTTCTGTCCCGCTTGTTATTTATATTTATATGCCTCGGTTTGCTGGGGTGCTTGGCATCACTTCCGGTTCTGTTTCTCAGTGGTTTGTATATCGGGTCCAGTTCAACGTGTTTCTTTTTTGTTATTTTTATTTTATTCATTTGTGGGATATGGGCGTCGCTGTCTGGCCAGCATTTCTTGCCCATCCCGAGTTCCCCTTGAGAAGCTGGTGGTGAGCTGCCTTTTTGAACTGCTGCAGTCCTCCTGCTGTCGGTTG